TGTCTAATCTCTGGAGTTGTTTATCTGAGCCCTGTGTAATCAAGGGAATAAATATGTTCATTTCGTCCTTCAAATAATTGCAATTGAATGAAAAAACAGGCCTTTAGACATTTTTATCTTTAGTGTCAAAATGTTTAAAAGTCTATGGCCAATATTTACTTAAGTGACCATGAGGCAAAAACACTTGCCTGTTCTCACACTCACTTCTACCATTTCAGAGAATAGTCTCCTGTGAGGGGACGTCAGTGTAGAAACCAATGTGACACAGACACAGACACAGACAAATTGTGAACAAGGCAAAGTCGATGTCCAGCTCTGACTGTCCTCTCTTGGAGGAATTTGTTCTTCTCTCAGGCAGGCAGGCAGGCAGGACTCTCATCTCATTGTTCTCTCATCAATGAAACAACCCCCTAATCTATACATGCCAAGGTCACCAGGACGCCTACTGCTTGGGAATGCATCAACAGTAGCTACTAAAATGTTAAGAGGAGATAGAGCTATAATAATCATGTGTGTAATAACGTGATACGGCTGCTTGTTTAGAGATTTACTGCCACACAAGGTGACTTTCAAGTTTACGCCTCAGAGCCACGTTAGCTGTAATATCTCAGGAATAATCGCTTTTTTAGCTCTGCTACAGATGGTTCACAGCCTACCTTGTGTATGTCTTCTCTGCTATAGTGTTTCAGAAAACAGATAAAAATCCTCATAATCTAACTCATAAAAGTACATTTGAGTATTTGTAATTATTTATTTTCACCCCTGTCAACCAGGGATAATTAATAATAATCAATATCCTGCAGAGTTCTGGTTCTTCAACAGAGTCGTGGTTCTTCTCAGGGAGGAGGCTCTGTGCTCTGTTGACTCTTTGCCTTAGCTGTAGGAGGGGCGGGGGGAGGGGGAATGTTTCTCTGAAGTTAATCCTCGAGCTGTTGTCAATTCTCCGTCTGAGGGGGAGTCAGTCACAAGAGACAGCTCAGAACACAGAGGGACAAGAACAGCTCTGAAATGAGAGGAGGACGACAGCTGAATAACTTTGAATATCAAATCACAAGAGGAACCTCAGCGCTTTGGGACAAAAAGGGTTTTCTACATGATGCTGTGCTGCAAACGCACATCGATTGCACACATTGATTCTATAATCACAGTGAATGCTTTCACAGGCAGTGCAGGGGTTAATAAAGCAAACAAAGCCCTGTGGTTTCTTCATCTTACATTGTTTGCCCTGTAAATTCAGATGTGTTCTTTCAGTCTTTTTGTTTGCATGTTGAGTCCAGTAAAGATCAGGGAAATATTGTCCCACGTCTTCAGAAAGAAACGCATCATATACTCAAATTATGACATGTAGCTCCTTTTAGTTATTGAATTATTACATTTTTTATTAGATCTTTAATAGTTAAGTCTGAAGTGTTTGCAGAAAGGATGGAGGTAGAGGATCGGGTGGATGACTTATAAAAGTTGAAGTCAATGATCAAATCCAGCACATCTATGGGATTTATTGCTGTGATAGTTTCAGTATTATCTTCAGGAAATTTGAACATTTAAAGGATATATAGGAGTTGTTGTAGTGAAGTCATATGAGTTAATCATGAGTATACTTATCTTCAATAAACGTCGGCCAGTGGGGCCCATGTTTGAAGCTCAACAGAGTTCAGAGAAAAAAAAGCTATATTATGTCTGCAACACAGCTGTCCCCTAAATAAAAAGAACCTGAGAAATTGAATGAAATGTCCTCAACAGAATCCTGTGCTTGGACTTGATGATTTGTGGTTGTATATATTTCATTTGGAGATTTATTTTCCATAAAACAGAACAAAAACATGTGTGGGCAGCTGTGGATCAGTTGGTAGAGTCGTTGCCTCTCAACCAGAAGGTTGAGGGTTTGATCCACAGCTGACCAACATGTCCGATGTGTCCTTGGGCAAGACACTTAACCGCATTGCTCCCGCTGCTTGGGTGGCGGTGTATGAATGGATTAGTGTTGTACTTACTCTCTGATGTACGTCACTTTGGATAAAAGCGTCTGCTAAGTGAATTGTGACATTGTAACATGTCCAGGACCTCAGTGTAAGGGAACTATACTCATTAAGTTATATTCCTCCGAGCCTCAGCAGTTTAGTCTCTCCTCCATCCTTTTACATTTTTTTTTTTGCAGGAGCTATTATTAACTTCTGCAGAGGTGAAGTACTTTCTGGTTCTCCCAGATTAATGAAAAGGTAGTCAGCACATGAATAATTTAGGTTTGTCCTCTTCGTTCATTGCTGAACTCAAATTGGACAGATACCCACTTAACCCTCCACTTTCTTCTCCCCTTCTTCTGCAGGAAGTGGATTGTGATTGGGAGTTCTTCTGTGCATGAGTTTGCAGGAGCCGAGTGTTTGTTGCAGAATCATGAAGATGTGAATAAGTTGCAAGCCAAAGCAGAAATCTCTAGTAATGATAGAGGAATAGACAGAAATTACAAGTAGCCAAACCTCTGCTGAATTTCTTTTTCTAACAAAAATGCATAATTTTGTAAAAAATATAATTTATGGAAAAGCCTAGAATGCAATTATGAGAATATTTTTGAGCAATTTCAGCAATTTGCTCAGCTCGGAAAGCGCTCTTCACTGAGAACCATGCACAGTGGGCTGATTTAAATTCTGCAGCGTGTTTAAAGTGAACTTTAGGAGAGCTTGTCATGAAGTTTACAGTACAGTCATCACTTCCCACAGAGTTTTTCTCCACCATAATCTGTTAACGCAAAGTCTGCATGCATCCTCATGTGAACACCGGCATTCACTTTAATACAAAATAACCATTATTTTGCCAGAAATATATATGTAAAGTGCATGATATCTTTGTAGCAATTTGAGCAATAACCTTTGTCTCTTTTTCAGTCTCTGTGTCCACATCAAGCACACAATTACAGCTGTTAAAATATCAGCCTGGGAACATTTAGGATTTTTTCAGCAGATTTAGATTAGCTGAAACCTTTTATTTGGAGGTCCTTCAAATGTACTATATGACAATTATTTCAAATGTTTACACCAAAATATCTACACTAATTTAAAATGGACTAAACCTTTGTTGTATATACTGTATATATGTTTTAATACTTACATTACCTAAAATATTTCCAACAGTTGTCAAAGCCAGAGAAATTCTTATTTTAATAGTTGTAACAGGATGTGTCTTTTGTAGCGGCTGCCATGACAGAGCCGGCACGACAGACAAGACATGTTTATCGTTGCCGTGGAAACACAAGATGTATTACGTCGAAGACCACCGCATAAGGAAGGACTTTCTGGTTAGTGTTATCGTTCATCTCTCAGCTGGAAGGTCGAGGGTTGGATACCCAGCGTCAGTCATATGTAGAAGTGTCCTTGGGCAAAATCTGAACCCCAAATTACACTTGTGTGAATGTGTGTGAACAATCTGCCGTAAGTGTGTGAGTGTCAGACATTTACAAGACTAGAAAAACCCTGCTCAAGGTTATAACATTTACATTTGTCTATAAAACTGGAAAAAGAACATGTACATGAATCTATAGAAAGTGAAAGTAAGAATACAAAAATCAAAATCCTGCCTTCCACAACAAGCTTCATTCACAGTATTGTTTGTTCTGCAGCATTTTTTTAGGAGATTAAAATGTAGTCATTAACATTTTGGCCGAAAGTGCACCACAGACTAAAACAATCCCACACCTAGCAGCTCTGCAGTCAGTGACATTTGAAAAGGTAATTTGCAAGAAATGGATCGAATGGGAATACAGCTCAACCATATGATTGACTTTTCCATCATGTCCTCAACGATATTTATAAGGTGTAGAGAGCAGAAAGTCAAACAGTGAACACATTACACTCAGCTGAGTTTAAAGAATTACAAAGTTATGAGTGCTTAATAGAGAAGAGAGACGTGTGAGCAGGAGCTCCAGAGCATTTCTACGCCCCTGAGTTGGTTTCTAAACTTTTGTTTAGAGTGTTTTAATGCAGGAAGAAATGACGACATTCAGAACACAAAGTATCCTTTACTTAAGGTCTGGTCAAGTCTTTCTCACTTTCTACTCGTAGGTCAATACTATGTTCAGACAACACACCGGACAGGACAACCTCCTCACCCCCTGCAGCCAGTGGCCTTTGCAGGTAGAGCATGCATTATTGAACAAGAGGTGATGGCTAAAATGAAAAAGAGAGATATAAAGGGTCTCCAGCGTTCATATTGTCTGAAAGAGGCAAGCTCCCATCAGAAGGAAACGGAGGGACCAGCTGCGAGCGAGCAGGGGCTGAGGAGGAATGCAAAGCAATCAATGAGCGGGCCAGGCTGAGTGCTCGCTCGCATCAGCCGGCAGACTGAAAAAGAAAAAAAAAAGATGTCTGAAAGGTCACCATCCTGCGGCTTTCACAGATTAAATCTTAAATCAATAATTTAGCTGTCTGAAGGACTGTTGAATCTAGAGTGGACACTGAAGGGTTTCTCACTCCGTTCATGTGTTTTCATCTCCCACTTCACACTTAAGTCAAGACCTAAACTGATGCTTTTTTTTCACAGCAGGAAGTGAAGTTCAGCCTGATAGAGTGCTGGGATTTCAAGTAACCACTAAGAGAGTTTAGAGGGCTGACTGAACAAAAAGTCCAAGTAAGAGGAGAAAATATATATAGCAAGTGACATTTCTCCGACAGTGATAGTATAAGAAATATAAACCACAAAAACTCAATACAGCTTAATAGTGTCTACCTTGTTTATCAGTGTGTGCCTGCTGAAGGAACAACTCAAGTACTTTCCTCAGGTTATCCATCGTTTTCTATCATCTTTCTCAAATAATAACCTAAAATTATTGTCTTGGATGATCAAATCTGAAGGATACAAAAATATAATAATAAAAAAATATATCATATTTTTTTTTACAATGCCTTCGATAATAAATACATTGTTTATATGTTGTACTTGCTGTGTTGCCACAGTGCCATGATTAAACAGACATAAGGGTTGTGAGAAAAAGACAGAATTTTCTTCCAATACAATTTTTCAGCAAATTTATTATGAAACAAAATGTATTTAATCCAAAGCAACTTTCAGAATCTTTTATCGTGAGTGGATTTTGGCGCCCCCTGTGGACAAACCCTGCCATTTGTATATCCACGAGTTACTGCCTCTTAAAATATTATTGAAGAGGACAACGCTTATTAGATTCTTCTTCAGTAAACTTTCATCCATGTCAATTTAACAGATTAATCACTTGATTTAACTTGACTTAAGCCTTTTGCTCCTCTTGGGTGCATATGCCGCTGACGAATATCCTCCATTTCACTCTGTTTGTGGCTTTTCGCTCAAGCTCTCCCCAGTTGAGTCCACTCTCTGACTCTACACTTCTTCTCCAGCTGTTCCTGGGGCGACCTCTTTTCCTTTTCCCCTGGGGCTTTCCATTTCAGGGCTTGTTGGGTGATGTTTGTGGCAGGTTTTCTGAGGGTGTGGCCAATCCAACTCCACTTTCTCTTTGTGGATGGGGTCTTGGCTTGTTCTTTTCCACAGGTCCACATTGTTGACTTTGTCTTTCCACCAGATGTTTAATATCCTTCTGAGGCAGGTGTTGATGAATGTTTGCAGCCTGTGTGTTGTGTGTGTCAAAAACTTTTTCAAAATCAATGAAGTTCATGTGCAGGGATGTGTTCCATTCAATAGACTGTTCAATGATGATGCGTAGTGTTGCTATGTGGCCTGTGCATGAACGATCTTTCCTGAATCCTGCTTGCTGGTCCCGGAGCCTCTTGTCCACAGCTTCCTGGAGACGGTTAACAGATTAATCAACAACAGCAAAAACATTTACATGCAGAATGTGAGCAACAGGAATTAAAAAGTCCCAACTTTATGAAAAGCTGATTTTATTTTATCTTTTAATGATAAATGACACTATTGAGAACGTTTTGTAAAATATATCTGAGGAGAGGATGAATCCATCACCTTTTAAAATAAACAGAAGTCCAGGAAATTTGCATATTCTGTCTGTAAATGTTGCAGGTATTGATATGCACAGTAGAGAAGAAAGCCACTATTAAATTATTAATACAAATCTGAATATAAGGGTTAGGGTAAGATGGGTGATATATTTTGTGTTTTATTCTATCCAAGTTTAATCTTACAGAACATGGACTTAAAAAGATTTCAGGTTCCACTATCCTCTCTACATTTCAAACTTGACAAAACCTCAAAAACATCTGCAATGATGAATCTAGGGTTTTAAAAAAACAACCTGCTGAGTGCATTCATTGTGGGAGTCCATACTAACAGTAAATGCCTTCATTGAGGCAGAATAATGAGAGCCAGGTTGTTATTTAAAGACTGGAGCCATGACAACAGAGGACCACTGCTGGTGAGGAAAACGATGAGAAGCAGAGGGGCAAGATGTTGCTCAACTGTATGACATTAAATGAAGAATTCAAAGGTCTGTTATGTGTCAGGTGCAATGGGGTTTGACGGACAGATGTTTCCCTTAAAGGGATAGTTCCTGCACTCCGACTTAAAGGCTTCTTAGGAGGGAATCAGTGCATCAGTTTTAACCTTAAATCTCGGCTTTAGCACACTAGTAATTTATCAGACTTTCATTGTAGCCATTTAATAATAAGAGTGTTGAAAACATGCCTGCTGTAATTAAAGATGAGCCAGTTGTAATGTCTGCAACCACTCTGCAACGTAGTAAAATGTTTTGTTTGTTCAACGTTCAAGAGCAAAGCCAACATAAAGACGTTTCTTCTTAGAGTTATTAACCCTGTGAAAAAGTGTGAAACTTTAGCTTCCCATACACTAACCTGTGCCCTCCTACACTGCCCATGTGTAGTTCCCCATTGGGAACTAATTAAAAATAGGGCTATTTACCAGTTAAACCATTGTTCAGTGAGAAGCTGTTGACCATTAAATCCTCCTCCAGTTCACTCTGGGACTTTGACAGATCGTGGGAGATCTTCCAGTGAAGCATCAAAGCTCACAGAGGGGAGTCAGGTATCGACGGGCGGCTCCTTCTTCTTTGATGTGTTTGTTTACAGGTCAACGCATAAATGAACTGTTAATGCAGAAGCTGCCTATTTCAAATGAGTCTCTTCTGCTTTCAAAGGTCACGATGTGGTCACCTCAGTGTCGTTCAGCTGCAGTGACACTGCGTCACCTGTAATGCTTGCTGATGCATAACACATGAGCTGCTATATTTGGTTAAAGTCACTGTCAGTTAATGTCTCTCACATCATCTTTCTTCATTGAATATTGATGAACAATCCTTCACTCATTTTTTTTTTTATCTTCAATCTGCCATACACTCTCTTTTAAACTCAAAACTGAAAGTTTTGGACACTTTACACTCTCAAACTTTGCATCTCAGAGCGTCTGATCGCTGCTCGCTCTGCATTTGAAGCCGACAGATCTTCATCTGAGACGGAGGCGAGGAGGTGGAGGCAGCACGAAGGAGTGAGAAGGAGACAGAGGGAAACAGCGGGTGGGTTTACGGTGGAGGAGGAGGGGAGGCGGGTTAATGCTCTTGATGTTTAGTGTGTGGGTGTGTACAGTCGTACTTTGAAGCGTTTCCCCGCTGAGGACGGCTGTTTCTCACAGACTGCTGATTTAGATCATGTCACATGCAATGCACAAACAGAGAAATGTATTCTGCAACTTGTAGAGAAAGACATAGACTGAAAAACTTCCATTCCGTACACAGACACACACACACAAAAACATATTCGTCACACTATAAGACCAAGTCAGTTAGACTTTAAGGATATCAATCTGTCCATTATGAAGCACAGATAATTGTGAATCAATTTGAAATACTTCTGTGCAAATGAAAGTGACAACAGACGCAATGGATGACTAAAGCAAAACAACCTCCCAAAAAGTCATGTTTTTGCATGTGGTGGCCACAGACAGTGCTTTCTCTGTTTATCCTTCCTTTGTGATTCTTCTCTAGTTTTTTGTTCTGCTATTTTCTTGTCACTACAGGTAGGATGAGATGTTACCTGCAGCCCCATCAGGCTGGTAGTCTATAGCTTCTCCATGAACATCCATATGTGGGTTGCAAGAAGGTTTGCTGTGTCTCCCAGCACAGGGCCGCTATCTGCTCCAGTAGGAACAGGGGGAGCACTGCAAAAGCCCTTCAAATGACCTCCAAACAGACTGACCAAACTGTCAGAAACACTAGAGGGCCAAAGTCCTCTCAGTCCGCCATCAGTGTGTGAATGGGGGATTTTAACATGTAGTGTAAAAAAGTAGTTGTTCAGATGCAAAATCTATTCTAATCTGTTGTACAAGTTTTTTATTCAAAGGTGGAACAGAAGAGGCTGGACTATAAGGCAGAATATCTCCCCCTGCTTCTCTGCAGAGACTGCGATCGTTAGATCCCTAACCCATCAGCAGAGCACAGAGGATTCACGGGGCATTGCATTGATTTATTGCAGACAAATAAAACACATGTCTACAGTATTTGTAAGAAAATTCCCCAGGTGTTACTAAGATTTCACATTCAATAAAATAGGATGGATGTGAGTTAACAATGACTTTGACCTTTGACTTCACAAATCATATTTCTTCATCCTTTAGTTCAAGTGGATGCTTGGGCCAAATTTGAACGTTTCTTGCAAAACTCTCCTAAACAATAATCTCGTTCAAAGGAATTGCAAAGGAATAATGGCTCTTGAAGATGTTATTTCATTTCATATTTGATTTATTTGCTCAATCAGTGTATGGTTTCAACACAATAATACAAAACAAAAAAAAATATTTTCTCATAATGCTGAAACACTGTTCATGAGCAAACAGGAGCAGGAAGAAGAAAACTTGTAATACCTGCCCCTTTCCTAATAACATAAGATACTGTTTAACAGAATAAGATGGCTAACCTGTTGTTTTGTCTTTCTTTCACGTTACATCACGTTATGATCTCACAGTGGGTGGATTTTGATCTTTTGGTTAAAAAGATAATGTTATCAGGTCGATTTTTTTTATCCTACAATCAATTTACCTCTGATGATTCTGATATTCATGAGAATGAAACAATGACCTTAGGTGAAGGCAAAATAAGATAAGATTGTTTGGTTTTAACACTCAACTACTTGAAAGTGGATGTGAAAAAACAGACATGCATATATAACATTTGTGCAAAAATATTGTTTCACAACACGTGTTCATATTTTTGAAGAAGAGAATGGCATCATGAGGGCTTGTCAGTGATGTCAGCCAGCCACACCATGCAGATGCTTCATGAAGCTGTCTAAATGCAAATTGTTGCACTACAACTGACTTTAGTTTAAAAAAATAAATCAATGACTCATATCTGATTTTATTCATATGAGAAGCTATGTCACACTGTCTTATCTGTCTATGTGATCAATATACAATGAAACTAATTACATTCAAGCAAACGTGATTTGATCTTCTCCTCCTATAAAAAGTTGTTTTTGTATGGCTGATGGCAAATAAGTCAGACATTTCCCTTTTTGTTTAGCAGGTCCCTTGTGTTGCTTTAATAATCCTCTACACCAGATTTTTTTCATGCGCAGCTTCTTTATTATTTCACGACAACAGCAGTCACACTTTACAACAGTTAAATAACTGCAGGATGGAATAAGCAGCATGTTGCACAGACTAAGCAGGGAGAAACAACGAAGAGCTGGTTTAGCGGTACAGGTTATCCCTGCATGGAGCTGTGCATTAAAACGTCTCATTGTTGTAACGCCAGGGTCTAGTTTT